GCTTTTAGACCCCAATAATTAAAGGGTCTGCACTCAGATATTTGTGAGGAAAGCTTTGCCCACGTGTTAAAGCAGTTTTTTTTTTTTTTACCAGTGATGTAGGCAATAAGTGATCAAGCTAACTCCTGTCAGAAAGCAGGAGCTGCCAGTGTGCGTTCTTTCATCAGCTCTGCAGAATAATCTGACCCACTGGCACAATTATGAATGAAGGCAGGGTGCCTCTCAGTGAATGCTGGTTATTCTTTGATTAAAAAACTCTTCTCACAGGACCCGACTGACGTAACCTGATGCTTTATGAAGATTCCGGCTCCTCGACTGAATACCCACTTCAAAGTAGTGAAAGGATTTCTTCTATCAGGAACAAAAAAAAAAGTGTTGTAGATATGAGAAAGAGAGAAAACAAAGAACAGTGGGCTGTTGGTGTGGGAGAGGTCCTGTCCTGCCCAATATTTCCATACTCTCCTGCTGGGAATCTGCATGTAGGCTGCTGAACGGTTACGCAAACATTCAGTCACATGTCCTCCCTGTCCCACTGAACAAGGGATAGTTTAGAGATTTTGCCTTGCAGGGTTTTAATACAGTGGGGCAAAAAAGTATTTAGTCAACCACCAATAGTGCAAGTTCTCCCACTTAAAAAGATGAGAGAGGCCGGTAATTTTCATCATAGATATACCTCAACTATGAGAGACAAAATGAGAAAAAAAAAATCCATAAAATCACATTGTCTGATTTTTAAAGAATTTATTTGCAAAATATGGTGGGAAATAAGTATTTGGTCAATAACAAAAGTTCATCTCAATACTTTGTTATATACCCTTTGTTGGCAATGACAGAGATCAAACGTTTTCTGTAAGTCTTCACAAGGTTTTCACACACTGTTGCTGGTATTTTGGCCCATTCCTCCATGCAGATCTCCTCTAGAGCAGTGATGTTCTTGGGCTGTCGCTGGGCAACACGGACTTTCAACTCCCTCCAAAGATTTTCTATGGGGTTGAGATCTGGAGACTGGCTAGGCCACTACAGGACCTTGAAATGCTTCTTACGAAGCCACTCCTTTGTTACCCGGGCGGTGTGTTTGGGATCATTGTCATGCTGAAAGACCCAGCCACGTTTCATCTTCAATGACCTTGCTGATGGAAGGAGGTTTTCACTCAAAATTTGACGATACATTGCCCCATTCATTCTTTCCTTCACACGGATCAGTCGTCCTGGTCCCTTAGCAGAAAAACAGCCCCAAAGCATGATGTTTCCACCCCCATGCTTCACTGTAGGTATGGTGTTCTTTGGATGCAACTCAGCATTCTCTTTCCTCCAAACACGACGAGTAGAGTTTTTACCAAAAAGTTCTATTTTGGTTTCATCTGACCATATGATATTCTCCCAGTCATGGTCTGGATCATCCAAATGCTCTCTAGCAAACTTGAGACGGGCCTTGACATGTACTGGCTTAAGCAGGGGGACACATCTGGCACTGCAGGATTTGAGTCCCTGGCGGCGTAGTGTGTTACTGATCATTTTGACCCCACGGGGTGAGATCTTGCGTGGAGCCCCAGATCGAGGAAGATTATCAGTGGTCTTGTATGTTTTCCATTTTCTAATAATTGACCCCACAGTTGATTTCTTCACACCAAGCTGTTTACCTATTGCAGATTCAGACTTCCCAGCCTTGTGCAGGTCTATAATTTTGTTTCAGGTGTCCTTTGACAGCTCTCTAGTTTTGGCCATGGTGGAGTTTAGAGTGTGACTGTTTGAGGTTGTGGACAGGTGTCTTTTATACTGATAACGGGTTCAAACAGGTGCCATTAATGAAGGTAACGAGTGGAGGACAGAGGAGCCTCTTACAGAAGAAGTTACAGGTCTGTGAGAGCCAGAAATCTTGCTTGTTTGTAACTGACCAAATACTTATTTTCCACCATATTTTGCAAATAAATTCTTTAAAAATCAGACAATGTGATTTTCTGGATTTTTTTTTTCTCATTTTGTCTCTCATAGTTGAGGTATATCTATGATGAAAATTACCGGCCTCTCTCATCTTTTTGAGTGGGAGAACTTGCACTATTGGTGGCTGACTAAATACTTTTTTGCCCCACTGTAACACTTGATTTATTCAATATAATCTGGAGAACCACAACAGCTTTATATAATAGCTGTTGAATTGAAGACAAACATAATTAACCCACCAATAAAACTGTATCTATTCATCCCAAACAGCAACTATTTTGAAGCTCAAGCTTGAATTTCGTCCGTCCCTCCATTCATTCATTTTTTGTCTTATGTTTTAAAAATGTACTTGTATTCTGTGACAAAACGGTTGAAAGGGCCATCTGGCCAAATAGTTTAGTGTTTCATTATTTTCAGCTAACATACATGTTTGCTTTATGCAAATGGAGTCTCAGTTTATTCTGTAATCAGTGGGTTTCCGCTTCTTCTTTTGCTGTCTTCGTGTCCTTGCGCAGCATACTTCTCTAGATACTTCCCCTGACTTGCCCGCTGTGGTCAGAGGGCCTGATGTTATTGCAGCCTCACTCCTGTCAGTCTGCTCCAGGGCAGCTGTGGCTGCAACATAGCTTAGCACCATCAAACTGTGACTGGGTTTGTGGATAACTAAATGTAGTGTGAAGTTACCCATATAACGCCATACAGGCAATTTACAATTTGCTTATGACAGTAAATTTGTTCATAGAACGTACCTTTGTTTGAGAACTAGGTGCGGTAAGAGTAGCACATTCATGCTCTGAGAAGTTTGCAAGTATCCGGTTCGATCCCACAGCCTCCACTCTGGTTTCCTGAGCAAGTCTGTTAACCCCTGATTGCTCCCTGGGCATCGCGCAATGGCAGCCCACTACTCCCCTAGGGGATGGGTTAAGATGCAGAGAACGAATTTCCCCATTTTTGGATTTACAAGTTACCTTTTCTCATTTATGTTTACTTTTGCTATATTGATGTTATAGGTAGTGACCATGTGAAGGGAATATGTCAGTTTCAGCTTTTTTTGTTTGGCCTTTGCTTATGTTGTTTTATGTATTCTGACAAGAAAACTAGAGGTTTTCTGATTGTGCCTGTGATAAATGCATTTTGATGATGTTTTTCTTAGCTTTTAAGAGTATTTCCACAACTAAATTTTGGGGTTCAGAAGTAGAGAACTAGGCCACCTTGACTTTGATTGCTTTAGGTTCAGCCAGGTACATTTTGGCCAATTTCACAATCTTTATAAACACTTAATCTTGTCTGCAACCAGTAAAACAAACCACCTGCTACACCAGAGCACTGCTGTCTTCTGCCCTTCTTCAGCCACTTAGGCCAGATTATCCCACATCTCTTATCAGCAGAAAAGGAAATTGAAAATCTGACAACAAAGCTAAATTCTCCATTTAGACTCTTATTACAATCAAACCAGGACAGACAGTATTGATTAAATTGGAATGAAAAGTGCTCAGGGTTTAATATTATAGATTAAAATCCCACCAATGAAAACTGTTTTGGACATTTTCAGCGTCCCATTTATAAATGTTTGTTGGTGCAATAACGGTCTTGTTTACCCCATTTCATGGTTGGTTAGTTTTTAGGGTGTAATGGGTTATGAAAGACTGTCTGTTAGGAGCGTTGGGAGCTGCTGCTGAGGCTTCATTTGACCTGCTGATAATAAGGTTTTCTGCCTGTGTCATACCTCTGCCTCGGGCCAATTCCAGTGTGTGAATGAGTGTGCATTTGAGAAGCATAATGTAAACTCAACCCATTTGCACTTTCACTGGAAACACAACATGAATACACTGGTATTTCCATATCAGCACAGGAATTGGAAGTCAGAGAGGAATGCAAATCAGCCAAGTTGCACAGAAGACTATAACTCTGCATTTTTATGCAGATGTGAGTGTCTATTAGTGGACCACAGTTATGACTCAGAGTTTCACACTCTGGGTTTCATGATACTTATTATGGGTCCATAAATAAAGATTTTTGTTCCTGATTATCACCGTTTCTTCTTTGATAGGAAGCCATCCGATTTTTTCATTACAACACAAGTTTAACCAGTTCAACCAGTCCTATCGGTTTGAGCCCTTTCTTGGAAAAATAGCCAGATGGAACTTTTGCTATTGTCTCTCACTACTACTACTCCACTAGTGCTCATTTA